GCGTGCTAGTAAACGCAGTAGATTTGCGCTCACTTTATTGCACTTTTTGTGTATTTTTCACTGCTTTAATTTACCAATTTAGAAGAACAAATCTTTTACAACGATTTTGCGTCAACAGAGACAAGAGACCAATGGCGGCAGAGAAGTGCCGCTATATGCATACAAGCGCAATGCAGGGTTTCCTTGGGCTTACCATCGAATTTGTATCTACCGACCGGCAACAAGTTATCGAATAGCTAGCGGCCTTTTTTCCACGCTTAATCACTAACCATACAAGACTTGTATGTCTAGAGGCTTAATGCTTGGCAAACTAAACTTTAAATACATTTTAATAGGTCTTTAAATTAAATTACAAGTAGAATTGATATATTAAATATTCAGCAGCAAATACTTTTTATTGTTATTCCATATAATTTTACAATAATTTTTATATTTCTTATTTTACAGCGACTAGCAGCAACAATATTATGATTATATATCTTGATCGTAAGCACTTCCTAAGCAAACATAAAAAAACAAACATCATTTAAATCTAAGTGCTACTGCTGGCAGTTAAAAGACTTTACATTTAAATGGTGACGCACGCATTTGGCGCGTGCATCATTGTGCTCTGCTCCATTCGATAGCAGAGCTGACCAGCTGATTCATCGATAGTCAGAAGAAGGCAATACAAAGAAAGAGCAGGCACAAGCTGACACAATAAAAACAACACAATAACAATAACTAATTAAAGCTAAACAGCAAGTATTAAACACAGTGAGTCATCGAATAAACGGGCAAAGGTTTATTCTTCACCATGTCCGAGAACACAGCAAAAGAAGCCGAGCCACCCAGCTACGAGGAAGTCATGAGAGGCAGTGCGCCCCCCATGCAGGGTGAGTAAACGAATGCCAAAGCAAAACACTTAAACATTACATTTAACCAATTATTGCAGATGCTCGACTCATAACTGGCGTACATCAGGGCGCGCCGACAGCACCACCAAACATGGCCAGTTATGGAGCATTTGAGACAACGCCAGTTAGCATTGTGGTGCAGCCAGCGCTGCCCACAGAGATCATAGTGATCGGTGCGTGCCCGTCGTGCCGCATTGGCTATCTGGAGGACACATTCTCGCCGCTGGGTCTATGCTGTGCAATATTTCTCTTTCCCATAGGCATACTCTGCTGCCTGGCGATGCGCGAAAAGCGCTGCAGCAATTGTGGAGCGACATTTTAGTTGGAGGCGTTGCGCCACCTGGTTAACTCTCGATGATCTGCAAGATCTGTAACTATTCCCTGACACATTGGACTGTTAAGTTTTTAATATCACACAATCAAATTATGCTAACTGGCTAGCTTGTTAATCATTAAACTCGATGTATGTATGTATATGCACATGTATATATCTGTAAATACGGATATCTTAGGCTTTCACGAGGCGTCTGCTCTGCCCGGAATCAGACTCGCCCAAACATTACATTCCATTTGCGATGTCGCCGTTGTTGTGTGGACAAGGCCCGCTTCCGTCAAATTTAATTGAGATATAATGGGGGCGGTTTTGAATTACGCCGCTTGTTTGCTGCCTTCTCTGTTTATTTTTGTTTGCATATATATTTTTGCTCTTTGTGAAACGTAAACAAGTGAAAATTTAAGTTTAAGCATGCACGACCCTCGCATGCCCTGTAAATAAATATATTATTAGACACTCTCCGTAAACTGTCCATTAGTAAATTTTATTATAAAATAATCAATAATCGACCCACTTTCTATGCGAATTGCTTCATCAAAGACAGACCTATAACCATGAATCCAGTTCGTTTTGCCTGACGCCTTTGCAGCTAGCTTATATGCCCTACTGTGTATATTTAATCAGCTCAGTGTAGAACAAAGTCGCCGGCATTCACATCCGCCGCATGGGCATCTTTCAGACTGCAGTCGCAAAAGTCTCTCGAGTAGACATGTCCAATATCTCACCTCTGCTCCAGCTGCTACTGCTGCTGTGGACTACGCTCCTGGCTGGAACAGTGTCAGCCTCCGCCCGATACAATGTGGTAATGGTAATCTTTGACGATCTGAGGCCGGCTTTGGGTGTTTATGGTGATAGCCTGGCGCGCACGCCACATCTGGATGCCTTCGCCCAGGGCAGCAGCTATTTTACACGCGCCTACAGCCAGGTAAGTCTCCAGGACTGCTCCCAAGCCCACTTTTCATCGATTTACCAAATAGCAAGCGCTGTGCGCACCCAGCCGCAACTCCCTGCTGACCGGTCGACGTCCAGACACGTTGCATCTGTACGATTTCTACAGCTATTGGCGCAGCTTTGTGGGTAACTTCACGACCTTGCCGCAGTACTTCAAGGAGCACGGCTATTACACCTACAGCTGCGGCAAGGTATTTCACCCGGGCCTTTCCTCCAACAACAGCGACGACTACCCCCTGAGCTGGTCGGCGCCGGCGTTTCGTCCGCGCACGGAGCAGTTCATGAACTCCCCAGTCTGCCCGGATCATGGCGGGAGCGTGCTGCGCAAGAATTACCTTATATGCCCAGTGCAGCTGCAAACGCAGCCATACAAAACGCTGCCGGATATCGAATCCGTGTCGGAGGCACTGCGTTTCATAGACTCGCGCAAACGCAGTCGCCAGCCGTACTTTCTGGCGGTGGGCTTCCACAAGCCGCACATCAATTTCCGCTTTCCCAGGCAGTTTCTTGGGCGTTTTCCTCTGGCACCTTTCTACAACTACACGGAGGATGCTGTGAAGCCACCGGATATGCCAGACGTGGCCTGGAATCCCTATACGGATGTGCGCTCACGCGACGACTTCAAGCACAAGAACATATCCTTTCCCTATGGACCCATTTCCAGGCAGCAGGCGGCGCAGATTCGACAGGCCTACTACGCATCCGTGGCGTATGTCGACGATCTGTTTGGCAAGCTGATGGCTCGCTTGGATTTGGAGCGCACAGTGGTTGTCGTACTGGGCGATCACGGTTGGTCGCTGGGCGAGCACGCTGAGTGGGCAAAGTACAGCAACTTTGAGGTGGCACTACGCGTGCCGCTTATCATACGCAGTCCAGAGTTTCCATTGATCCAGCCTCGTCCGATGCACAGCATCACAGAGCTACTGGACGTCTTCCCTACGCTGGTGGATCTGGCCCATCTGCCGCCGCTTCCGGCGTGCAATAGAAGCAGCAGCGCACTGGAACAGTTGACCTGCTCCGAAGGAAAGAGCCTGTACCCGCTGCTCCAAGGCTTGGGCTTGGGTAAGTGTCATGTTTGCTTGTGCGTTTACCTTTAGCTAAATCTTTTTATCTCACAGCTGAGGAGCATGTGGCCATCAGTCAGTATCCGCGTCCAGGTATGCTGCCCACAAAGCATCCCAACAGCGACAAGCCCAAGCTGCGCAATATCAAGATCATGGGCTATAGTCTGCGCACGAACTATTATCGTTACACGCTCTGGGTGCGATTCCATGCCCATAATTTCAGTCGAGGTGAGTCAAAGGGTTCAGCACTTCCCCGAGCTACTTACCCTTAAGGTAGAAATACCTTTAAGTTAAAGAGAGTGCCCACAAAAATTTAAATAAAAACAAAAAGGCGAATTATTTTCATTTCAATTTATTTTTCTTCTAATAAATATACAAATTTTTAATATTTAAAAATATGCTTATCGATTGTAGATGAATAAATTAATAACAAAATATTTTGTTTGAAAATATTTACAGATTGGCAGAACATCTACGGCGAGGAGCTGTACGATCATCGTTTGGATTCCGGCGAAGAGTTCAATTTGGCTGCGCTGCCGGAGTTCAATGCCATTCGCCAGCATTTGCGCTGCCGTCTGATTGAGGCCGTGGGTTAAAATCCTGCTAGGGTCAAATACAACAATTCATATGTATTAAAGGAAAAACAACGAAGGAGCCAAGAAATAAACTTCGCAAATTATAAAAAGAAAATAACTTTATTTTCGATTAGACGAGTTTCAATCTTAAGATAGTATAGGTACAGGGACTAGAAATTTTGGAAATATATTTATAATAGTAATAATAATAAAATATTGATAGTAATAATAATTATGAACGTAATATTAGCTTTCATAGTCATATTTAAAATTAATTTCAAATCATTAGTTGATTGATTAGATGGTTGGTTACGTTATACCAATATTATAGGGTATATATTAGTTGGGAGCCATTTTTTTGGCTCTCCACTCTTGTCGCAGTTCGTGCCGCGCCGCGCTGCTCCGCGCATGCGTGACTTGTGCCGTCGCCTTTTCCGTTGCTTCGTTTTGTGAATATTTGTGAATGAAATTTCATTGAACGTTAGCTCTTGCCGCTGCCGCCGTTGACAGCGAAACGTCGCCGTCAACGTCGCAGTCGCTGTTGGCGTCGACGCCCATGCTGTTGCCAGGCGGGTGAAAATATGTTGGCGCTGTTTGGCTGGGTAATTAAATCTGCAGTCGACGCATCGCTTGATCAATCTGGTCTGCCCCTCCCCACCGCCAGCTTCCAGCTTCATTCGGCTGTGCTCTCCAATTGCACACCTACATAACTATGCACACACACGCGCGCACACACACACATGCACATGTGTGTCTAGTATTTGGCGTGGGCTATGCTGGGAGTCGGCTGTGTTGTTGGCTCCGCTTGTCATCTGGCCATATGGGCCGTTTCTTGAGGTGATTAAACTGAATTTTTGGCAGCGCTTTTACTCGCAATGGGCGTTATGAACCACATTTTCCGCTAGCCATACAGCTGCTGCCATTATGTGTGTGCGTGTGTGTGTGTGTGTGTGGTGGGTGTGGCAGATGCCATAAATTGCAGTTATACGTGTATGTGCATACATATTATACATATGATACATAGATATGCATATGTATGGAGCAGCCTACTCGTATAAATTTCGAAAGCTGCGCTTAAACGCGTATTTCTATACCCTGTTAATTTATGAAAGTGTTCAAAAAGCGTATTACATATGTTAGTAATAGGCACCTGACAACTTCGATCTAGATGCAGATTTCAGATACATTTCGGATTACACATTCATTTGATTTTATCTTTATTATGATTTGAATATTATGTTAAATATTATTATTATTTTAAATATTATGATCAGTAAACGTAATGCTGAGCCCTTGCCGAAGTGGAGATCCACCTCACCTGGGAGTTTCTAGTGATCCCAGTGTGAGAAGATCCTCAGCAAAAAAAAAAAGGTATTTGTATAATTAGCATTACTATAAATATTATTATTTATATGCTTTGCTTCGCTCTATTGTTATTTTTAGCATAGCATATAAATAACCAAGTGGTCGAACTTGAATATTCATCATACATTCGTTTAGCTATTGACAAAAGGTTTCATTACATTTTCTACATTCCAAATTGAAATATAAGGTGGGCCACAGTTAGTCTATACTGATATACATACTGATCTTCATTCTCAATTGCAGCTCGAGAACTTCCGGCATGGACGAAGCCAATTTCCCAAATGCAGAAAGTGCTCTTTCTCTAGGTTTTTCTAGAGTATTTTGTCTGATGGGGCCAGGTGCTTGATGGCACACGTCTGGTATGTTAATGTGCAGATTCATGCAGTTAAGGCATTTAAGAGCAGATGAAAGATGAGAGGAATCTGTTTGATTGTTCAAAAGGGCAACGGCTGGCAAATGTTGCTGAAAGACGGGCTCGAAAAATAAACTCGCTAAAAAAGCTATAAAGCTGACAAGTAAATTTGAGCAACATATGTGAGTTAGAGTATGGCAACTAATGTGAATAAATGTGAATACATGTGAATACAACTATATATAATATGAGTTTGTAGGTTGTTGTCGTGGTTGTTGTTTATTTCTAAGCTAATTCAAATGCGTGGGCGTCACAAACGAAATTGCAAAATATGCGTAGGCTGACGGTGGATATGCGAGTGCGAGTGTGTGTGTGCTTGTGTGTGTGATACCTCAACAACATCGTTGCGTTCTTTCTTACCTACGCACAGTTTTCAAGCAACTGAACACGAAACGTGGTGCTCGATGCTCGATGCCCGATGCTTGGCTTCAACACGGGCTCCCAACTTTAGACAACGCATCGTCGCCGTCGCCGTCGCCGTCGTCGTCCCGCTCAAGTTGGCCCAAGAAAAATGCTAATTTTGGTTGACATGCCATAGTTTGGCTAAGGCTAATGACGAAGGTTGTTTGTTAGCTTCGTCAGTTGATTTAATTTTTCATACCCTGAACCCATCGAAAATGCTTAAAATGGGTATATTGGGTTTGTGCGCGTGTATGTGGCGAGCAGAAGTAGGTTTCTCCAAACCCCATAAATCTATTTATTCTTGATCAGCATCAACTGCCGAGTGGAGCTAACCAGCTCTGTCTGTCCGTCTGTATGATCGATTTAAAAGATTATAAGAGATTAAGATTTTAAGATTAAGAATCTATATCGACGGCATGTTATTTGATCACAACTCTTAGCTGATTAGAGCTGGAGACTTAAGTTCCTTGTGGAGAATACGCAGCTCCAAAACCCTGAAGTTTTTGGATAGTCTTGGGCTTTGGTATATGCACACATCTAAATTGTAATATTTAAGCCCTAATAGTTTAATAAAGATCGGACCAAAAAGTAGCATAGTTAATCAGGTATGCATATCTCATATAAATTGTGGCACCAAGGCAAGAAGAAACACAGAATGTTACTTAATAGAACTTTAGACTCGCAGCTTTGTTTAGGGTATCTGCCAGTCGAGTACTTCCGACTAGAGCATTCTTACTTTTTTTAGATGGCTAGTAAACTACGTTGCCCATAACTGGTTGCCAGCCGAGACGGCGATAGGGAGGCGGAGCGCGGGCTCTAAATTTCTTTTGACGGAATCTCCATGAATTAATGTTGGGCCGGATTATGCCAACTGATCATCATCAGCATCATCATTATGATCATTGGCCTCTCCTTAGGCGCTTGCCACTTTATATACATATGTATATGATACTTATACCTTTAACAGATGTCAAGCTGTGTCAAGCTGGAAATTTTGGGTGATTACTTATGCTGATGAGACCCGAGAAGCGCTGCCCAGCTGACAGCCGAGTTTGCCAACTAACAACTAGCACACGTTAAAATAGTTTTTTATGGTAAAGGCAAGAGCTTTAACTAAAAACCATGAGAGAAGACTTTGGCTAACAGATCAGTGTGTGAAGCTAGCCAAATCTTTGCCGTGATCTTTGGATAACTATTTAAGAGCTATTCAGAGATACCCATGGGTCGCCTCTCAATGTCAAGGCCTGATCGCTTCATCAGCGCATTTCTTCAGCTTCAGCTGCTCCCAAATAAAAAAAAAACACGAGCAATAGCCTTGGCCATAAAAAGAGCGACACGACAATGCCAAAAAGAAATTGGTCAAGCAAAAAATATTTTGAATGAAATTCCAGCGACGCAGACGCACAAACAATAATAAAAAACAAGCAGAACAAGTCAGAGCAGGCACTGGGCATGGCTGACTAGGAGATACCCTCTATTTGGTTAATAGACAGATATATTTTTAAGAGTTGCTTCAGAGTCTAGAAGATAGATACAATATAAAACCCTGAGTAGGTAAACATTTTATGTTATTTAAGTTTTTTATTTTTAACTTGAACTGGCTGGAATTCGAACCCGAATCTTCGAACATAGTTTTTTTTTTGTAACATCTTACATATATGTTGAATGGATGTTTAGCACAAGTGCTTATATGTATTACTAGATATATTATACCCTAGTTATTAAATACAGGGTATATAAAGCATTCATTCAATGGACACAAAGATTGTGAAGAGGATTCCCAACCGCCTTGTCTTGTGGCAACAAAATAATTTATTGAAATTCAAATTTATTATCCGCTGTTCGGGCTTGGCCCCGGCCAGACTCGGTCAGCTCAGTTTGTCAGTTTGTGAGTTTGTCTTGGCTTGGTTTTGATATTTTCCCGTTTGGTTTTTGGGATTTTTTTCTTTTTCTTTCAGCCTCTGAAGCGAACCCAATTCAGCTGGAATGCAACACATATGGCCTAGAGCGTTAAACATAACTAAACGAAACAATCAAGAATGAGTGTAGAAATTCCAGAATGAGCCCACGCAGCGACCAGATCTGGCCAAGGGCAGCGGGCAGCGGGAAGCGGCAAGACCTGGCGGATGACCTGGCGAGGGGCAGCGGGATGGCGGGTTAGGCGGGGCTGCGGACAGCGGACAGCGGACAGAGGCTATGTGATCAACGTTTAGCTGAACGGATTGCGAGTAAAACGAGAAATTTTTTGCTCGTTTTGCTGGCATTTTACATGTGGCATAAACAAATACGAGGGCGCAGCGATGAGAGGCATGAGGGGTGTGAGGTGCATTTTTATTTTAGTGAAGAGTGAAGACTGACCGCCAGGCAAATAATTTGAAAAGCAACACGGGCAGCCGCTGTAACGCGTGCTAAACAAGTTTTGTCGATCGGCAACGAAGATCGAGACTTTTATCTTTTGTCTTTGGCCCTTGGATCTGGAGACCTGGACCTGGACCTGGACCTGGATGTGGCTTCAAAAGGTTTGTCCTCTGGCCGTTGCAGTGCTTTTCGGTGCTGCTTTACCCAAAAGGGGTTGAGTTTTGAGGCTCCAGCATGAACGCATGGACTGTCCACATAAAAGACATTGAGAAATCGTTTAGCTGTAGAGTGGGATCTGCTGCCGCTGCTGCTGCTCCTTTCAGCCAAGTTTTTATGATTATAAATATTTATGCCTTCTGCTTGGTTCTGCGCTGGGTCCGCTGCCTCAATTCAAATCGACAACGACGACGACGACGTTGAAATAAAAATCTCATTTTTACAGACAAGACTGGAGACGCTGCCCAGGCTAACTTCGTTGTCCCCAACCCCGGCTTCGTCTGATTCTCCCTTTCCCCATCCACATCTCTACCGTCCCTCTGATCCTATTGTGTGTTATTTACGTTCAAATAATTCAAATTAAGCAGCGCAGCTGAAATTCGGCTGTATCTGCTGCTAGTTATGCTCGCATCTTAACACCAACCTCTGGTGACCGAACAATGGACCAGTCGGAGGCCGCGTGCCAAAATTTTGATGAACTACCTTGCCGAGGAGCAGCGGGTCGCGCCTGCGTCTTCCTGGAAGCGCTCGCCTTCAGCCAAGTGCTTATTATGCCTCTGGCTTTAGTCTCAACTGTTCTGTTCTGTTGTGTTTTTTTTTTCTAAATACCCTTCTTTTATCATTTTGGATAATATCATTTTGTCACGAAATGTTATATATATATACGGATTGGATTGCTATATCTTATAGCTGCCATAGGAACAATCCTTCAAAAATCTTCCTTGTCTAAAAAACTTTTTTGTTTTTTAAGATATGTTAACCAAATTATACTTTTACGACGTCCACCATGCTCTTCAGATATGGGCCAAATCCTACTATCATCGGACTGCTATATAATCAAGATTTATCGAAAGAAGTGGTCGAAAAGTAAGTTTTTATATGACATATTTTTCTGTTTATTTTTTTAATATTTTGACTTAGCTGTTACGCACTTCACTTTTCTTTTATGTTATTTACAAAACCATATTAAAACGGATTACTATATTATATAGCTCAAATGGGATCAATTGCCCATATATCAAGCGTAGGGTATTTGATATTCGGCTTGCCGTTATTAGCCATTTGTCTTTTGTTTATTATTTTGTATTTTTTACCCGCTGGACCTTTTGATTGCGCTATCAGACTGTGGCCCGGGGCAGAGACGTCGCGTCGCTGCCGCTGAGGCTTGGCTGCTGCTGCCGCTGCCGACGCTGACGTTGCGAAAAGTTTACAATTAAATGATTTAAACAATGTTTTGCCGCTTTACGGTTTACACCTGTTTGAGTTCAAACTATAAATACCCCTGACGTAAATACTCATAGCCACGGTCCGCCTCAGAGCCAAACTAAATCCGTCCGAATGGGGCCCCTCTCGTTTGTACATCTTCTATATCTATATCTATATATTTATACTTGTGCGTATGTATGTATGTATGTATGTATGTATTTGTATGTGTTCAAGTGTAAAGTAAATAAGTATGTGCCTGAGTATAGCCACTTGGTCGAATCGTTGGCGTTCCCATTGTCTGTCATTTCCATTTGAATGTTTTTCCCAATTTTCACGCTTCAAATTAATGAGCATTTCAGGTAGTCGAGGCAATTGCTGGCGCCAGTTTTTCGCTAAATGTTATTCGAAATATTTGCCAATGGGCGATTTTCTTTTCTATTTTTTTTTGTTTTTTGTTTTTCGGTTTCGTTTTATTTGCGGAAAATTTTGCATTTCGATAATGTTGAGGCGTGAGATGTGTTTAAATATTGTGAAGAGTTTGCTTCAAATCAAAGCTGAAAATAGTTTTGCATGATATGGGGGAATCGCTTATGCGAACTGACGGAAATTCGGCTCGTTTGACGGTTAGCAATCGGATATAGATCCGGGCAGAGATCTCTGCAGAACAGTTCCCCTAGTTATATACATTATATTTTCTTCTATGCACATATATTCTTTGGGCTAGTTATTTTGCTCAAGAGATATTTGTGAATGAAAAAGAAAAATTTGCGTAAAATAGTAAAGGGTATTTATTTTCGTCAGGAAGAATACAATACATTTGTATTAGGAAATGTTAGTGCTTGTTAAATATTTCTCCTTATTTTTATTAAAGTACTAATAGCTAGTTCCCGGCCCTGCCCTAAAAAATCTTTTTTTTTAAACAGTTTTCACCCATCTCCCAGCCGAGTGAAATCTAAAATGGCTTTCGCATAAGCCTGAAGGACATTGCACCCCCCTTGATC